TTCCATCTTCCTAGTGATTGTAGTAAATGCTGAAATATTATATGTGATTGTTGGGCTGGAAAAAAGAAAGAATCTCTAATGCAAGTATTTATACCTTCAGCAATGAAAACAAGATATTATTGTCTTGCCTGACCTTTTCTAAGTATGGGGATACAGCATTTTACACAATAGTTTCTTGGTTCATGCTTCAATTATTGACCTTTACTGTGTAGAAAATTAATGCAATTTTCATTGTAATCCATCCGTACAAATAAGGGCCACACGGAAGGATTTTACATATGGAATCTAATACAAATAGGAAATGTCAGCTGATTGCTGTTGGCTGAACGCAGCCATTATCTGTTTGTTCTGAGGTCTTGAGAAGCAATTCTGTACATGGGTCATCAGGTAGAAGAAAGTTCTTTCTTTTCAAACTTTAGTTCCTAAGTTTGTTTCTCAAAAGTCTTAAAAATACAAAAAAAAAAAAAAAAACAACAAAACAATAAAAGGGAAAAAAAGAAGACCCCTAAGAGCTCTATATTATAACTGAAAGCCCATCAAAAAAAGAAGACAACGTTGTGAATTCTCATTTGTTTTCTCACACAGGCCACTAGTATGTCCTCTTTGCAAAGAGGAGGAGGAAGAGGCTATGGTGATGTCGTTTACAAGCATCCCTGCTCCTGACAAGAGAATGTTGACAGACCCCAGGCTGCATCCTAGACTGTGCACTGGAGACAGGCAGAACAGGAGAATGCATTCATCTACTGGAGAAAGCATGCCATGGCACCCAGGCCTGCTTTCATCTTCCACCGCCGACCATGCCGGTATTCGGTGGGAAAAGGAGTAGGCATTAAGGAGTGTCATTCTCCAGATGCAGAGTTTAGGGAGAAATGAGGTTCTCTCGTCTTCTGGTTGAGAGCTAAACGGCGGTGTGCTTCTAATTTGTAAACAGTCCGTCTTTCACGGAGTATGTTATGATTCCCAGAAACTTGGTCTGTCATGTCTAACATGCAACAGAAGGCAGAAAGACTCACAGCAGGCCAGACCTTTGATATAGAGCACTGAGGATTGAAGTTTCCTTCAGGGCTAAAAAGACCACATCATAATCGTGGAGGGTGCTCTATCAACAAAACCAATTATGCTTTATAATACACATGCAGATGTGTGTTCACGCAGTCTTAAAGTAACTGCTGTCTTATTCAGCTACAGAAACCCTCCACCTGACTTCCTCTTTGGGAAGAGAGAGTGAAAAGATATAGGCAAGTACTAAGAAGTATGCCGATCTCCCCCCAATAATTGAAGGGTTATGATAAACAGAAGAGGCGTGAACAAAAGTCAAAATTTCAGGTTGAATTTACAGCTGTAGATGAGTTCATCGAGATACAAAATCAAAAAAGAAACCCCATCATGGTTATATGCTAGCTATTACAAGGGACCATCAAAATGCTCCAATAAAATTATTACAACAAAGAAATGGTCTGGGAGAAATTAAGGTAGTCTGTTACCTACCTCAATTTCCAATAAATGAGGAACTCTGGCAGCATAGTGGTTACGAATCAGGCTGCAAAACGCGAGGTCAGCAGTTCGAAACTACCAACTGTTCTGTGGGAGAAAGATGGGGCTTTCTGCTCCTGGAAAGATTTACTGTCTCGGAAACCCTGTACAGGGTCGCTATGAGTCAGAACCGACTCCATGGCACATAACAACAACAGTAAACATGGGGCAAGTGGTTGCAATTGTTTTGTTTCCAGTCATGTTTGGATGCCAGCAATAGTTTCAAACTGTATTTATCATGTAGATTCTGCGGATCTCTCTGTTATCTCAGTCTTCCTTCCCCAGAAAGGCTTGAAGCATAGCCCAAGTTAGGTCTACTTCTAGACCCGCACACAATCCTGAGACATCTCAAAACACCAGACCTTGAAAAACCACTGGTCCAGACATTGTGGCTTCTCGCTTCTGTTTGCCTGTCTTCAAACATCACTTTCTCATTAATTGCTTTCATGTTGGAAGCTCTCTTTTATCAGCTGGAGAAAGACACATCACAGCATTGATCCCAATAAGGTGGGGGTGTCTTCTTCCACAAATGCCTCATGTAAATGGGCTTGGCCAAACAAAAAGAAGGTTTGCTCATTTGTAAGCTTTGGGTTGTAAAAATTAAGCATTTCCCCTAATCTAGTTTGAAAGCAGGAGACCTGGTGGTACATTGGGTGAAGGTTGCACTGCTAAATGCAAGGCTGGCAGTTCAAACCTACCAACCACTCCATGGGAGAAAGATGAAGCTGGCTGCTCCCAAAAGGAGTCTTGTTGTGGTGTTGTGGGATATAGCACTGGACTGCAAATTCAGTTTGAACCACAAGGTGGGCGGTTCAAACTCACCAGTCGCTCCTTGGAAATCTTATACAGAGTCACCATGAGTTGGAACCAACTCAACGGCACTTCAAAGCAAAGAACAACTCCCACAAAGACTTAGGACCGAGGAAACACTGTATGGTATTTCTCCTCTACTGTAGAGAGTCACTATGATTCAGAATTGAGTTGATGGTGGTAGGTTGGTGGGGAGGCTAAAAACAGATTCATTAATTAATGGTGGTGGTGGTTATGTGCCATGGAGTCACCGGTTCTAACTCATAGCGACGCTGCACAGGGTTTCCGAGGCTGCAAACCTTTACAGGAGCAGAAAGCCTCATCTTTCTCCCGTGGAACAGCTGGTAGTTTCGAACTGCTGACCTTGCGGTTCGCAGCCCAATTCATAACCACTCTGTATCATTAATTACTACATGTGATTATGCTTTGGTAAAACATCCACCAAGCTCTTTTGTTGCTGTTAACTGCCTTACAGTTGATTCCAACTCATGCTGACCCTCTGTGAGTGCTCTAGAATTGCTCCGTAGGGTTTTCAAGGCTGTAACCTTTGGGGAGATCATCAGGTCTGATTTGGGAGGCATCTCTGGTTGTGTTCGAATCTCCACCCTCTTGGTTAGCAATCAAGTACTTATACCACTTCTGTATCCAGAGAATCCTATCAAGGACAGCATTCATTAAGTTACAGCACCTAGAAGCTACTAACATCAATTTATTTATAAAGAAAAATTTCATCTGAGTGGTCTCTATACCGAAAAAAAGGTTGATTTTTTTGTTGTTGATATTTTTGTTTAATACAGCTTTCTATGACATCATAGCAATACTTCCAGACTTTCCTTGGAAACCCTATACAGGGTTGCTAGAGGTCAGAATCGAGTCGATGGCACTTAACAACAACAACAACTATATATATGAGAGGAATTTAAAAAGTTCATGGGAAAAATCCATTATTGTTTAACTCCATGTTTCTACATACTTTTCCTTTTTTTTTTTTTTAATGCTTTTATTGTGAATTGAGTGAAAGTCTACAAGGCAGACCATCAGTTTTACGGTTGATTCCGTCTTAAAAAAAAATTCATATTTTATCTATTTAGTTTGCTATTAACGACCATCTTCACATAACAATTAAGACTTACTTTGTAATCCATCCAAATTGCTTTGGATGGGCAAAACCATATGGTGGTGGTTGTTGTCAGGTGCCATCGAGTACGGCCATTTAATTGTAAGGCTACTTGTATCTTTGAATTCATTTCTATTCTGTGAGTACTTTTATCCTGGGCTCTGACTTTTAAAGTTGCCCTTTTTAACCTTCGGTTTCCCACAAGTGTCTACACCCTTCCATCATGAATTCCACAGACCCACAGGTTTGAGGGGAGGGGAAGTCCATTAAGCTAGTGGCGTCTCATTTGGCATTCCATTTTTATTTCCATTTTATTCCAGAAGGTTTGTCTGAAAGTGTAATGACAACAAAAGCAGCAGATTTGAGAGACTCTCCCAGGAGAAGTAAAAAGGACAGATGTACAGAGACATCTAGCTGAAAATGCTGCCAGCAACAGCTGGGGAAGTGACAGGTTCTGAAGTGGGTGACCAGCCCACAGAGTGCAGAAACCAACCTAAAGGAACAGCAATTTTACTTGATTTATGTTTGACTTCCTAGGGTCCCTTTTATCTACAAATGGGGTAGGCTAACCTTGGTTTGAATCAAATGAAGGGTAGATGTCTTATAAGGTTTCAATCATTCCTTATATTTTATTGTGTTTCAACCTTTTTTTTTTTTTTTAAATCTTAAAAAAGTAATATCCTTGATAAAAATATATTATTGTGGTAAAATAAATATAACACACGTCAGCCATTTTATTCATTTTTTAAGTATGTAATCAGTATCAGTTATTTTACTTACAGTGCTTTGTAACCATCATTGTTATTTATTTCCCAAACTTATGCATCACCCTAAACAGAAAGCCAGAGTCCTGGTATGGCACCGTGCGTGGGCTAATGCGCTGGACTGTAAAGTTGGTTTGAAACTCAAGGTCGGCAGTTCAAGCTCACCAATCGTTCCTTGGAAACCCTATACAGGGTTGCTATGGGTCTGAACTAACCCAACGGCACTTAGCAACAACAACAACAAATAGAAACTCAGTACTCACTAAGTAATAAATCCCTGTTTCTCATTCCTACCAGTCTGTTGCTGTTGGTTATTAAGTATCAGCTCCAACTCACAGCGACCCTGCATAGGGTTTCCGAGGAGCGGCTGGTAGGTTTGTACTGCCAACCTTGCTGTTCAAACCCACCTTGCGGTCCAGTGTTTACCCTTACAGTGTACAGGAGCTCTTCGTCACTGCTAGTATCCTTTGGTCTCTGTGTATTTGCCTGTTGTAGATATTTCACATAAAAGGGATGATATATTTTTAGAGTACAAGATTATTGCTTCGTTGTTTTTCTAAAATGCTCACGAGAACAACAAACACTCTAGACCTCACCCTGAGGAAGAGCTTCTTGTGGCAGCACTCCAGATCCCTTGGATGCTGTTTCTTGAATAAACTCACCTTGTCATCTTCATCCTCCTCTTCATCTATGTCTGTATTCTCCTGAAAGGAAAACCCACAATCTGTAAACAAAACAGCAACTGAAACTTTCAAATGCAAATTAAATTCACTCATATCCTTAAAGTTGTTCTACACAAGTTAAGCAGCAGTACTTTTAAAATCCATTAAAACCTCTTGAAAAATAACACTTTTAAAGTTCAGGGACATTGTGGTACAACTATAAACAGTGTGCATAATCTGCATAAAAGTGTTAACTATAAATAAAGCTATTAGGCAAGTACCCTTTAAAGGCACCCAGCTTTAAAAAATGCATTGCCAAATTACACTGTCTGTAAACAGTTTTCTTCTTATTCTGACAAATGAACCAACTGCTATGGTCGGGCAGAGAATGCCACACTGTCTGTGCTAGGCTCGTTGTTGTAATGACTGCTCCATCCCTCGTGGAGTATTAAGGAAACATTGTTGTTGTTGCTAAGTGACATTGAGTCGGTTCCGACCCATAGCGACCCTGTATAGGGTTTCCGAGGAGCAGTTGGTGAGCTTGAACTGCTGACCTTGCAGTTGAAACAGCTTTGCAGTCTCGCACATTAAGCCACAGCGCCACACCAGGAAACATTAGATAGTAGAAAATGCATTTGTCTGGGTATGACCAATCCCAAGAATATACTATAGGTTTCTATATGGTGTTACTGTTGTCCTGGTGAGGATGGGGCAGCAGATGAGAGAAGAAACTTACGTCACTGATGGATTCACAGGCATCTGAACTTTGTTATTAACAGGCTTGCTTGGATGAGTTTAGAAATCTTGGTTATTTAATTACATTACTGCAATGTCTAAGGCTAGCCTATGTTGGTACACATCAAATGGGTTTCATAGCTCAGAAGGGATGCTAGGTATTAGAGAATCAGGATATGTTTTCAGCTTGGACATTATTCTCAGCCTAACTGTCTAAATGCCATTGTTTTAATACTAAAAATAATTGTCAATAGCGTGCTTTCGAACTCTGAGGTATTGAGAAAATTTGTACTGTACCCATAAAGCCGCTGAGTAGTTATCAAGACATTTTTTCTAGGACTGGGAGAGCCATACATTCCTGAATTCTCATGAGCTTCACCTGGCAGTTTGTGTGACATTCACTGACCCTCTGAAGGAACTAGACTCTTCACCAGTGGTAACAAGCATGTTTCATGACAGCAAATGAGGTTCTTAAGGAATAACAAGACCCTTCTCTTTGGCCGAGGAATAGGGGACACCGTGACTTCAATCATCCAGTCTGCCACTCGAAAGGCAAAAGCCCATGTTTCACCATTTAATCTCAAAAATGCTAAAGTCATCATGCCTCTAGTGAACAGACCTCAATTCACTTTGGAAAAAGACCCTCAATCCATAATGCAGACAGTTCTTTATTCCGGCTAGCGATCAAGAAAGTAACCTTAATACACTGTTTAGGAGTCTGCATTTATTATGCTCATTTTACCTAAAGACAATTTAAAGATAAAGCCAATAGGCCACACTGAACTAAATGTTTCTACAATGTCCCAAATGAAAAACATGCTCACTGGGGAAGAGCTCAGGGGCATGACAAACCCTGTCACCATCAACAAGAGACTTCCTTCAAGATTAACTTCAAAGTATTCTGTAGTGTACTTCAGGGAAAACTGTGTAACTAAATGCAAGCTTATCTAAGCACTCCATCCGTGATATCACAGTTAAGCATTTGTGTGTTCTATATTCAACATCTCCTATTGGTCCATCTATGAGACAGTGGCATTTCAGTGGTAAAATACTCATCTTCCATGGAGGAGACTAAGGTGCAAGTCTGCCCAATGCACCCCACATACAGCCACTACTTGTCAGGGAAGACTTGCGTGTTGCTGTGATGCTGAACATGTTTCAGTGGAGAACCCAGAATAGGACAAGTAAGGAAGAAAGTCCTGGTGATTGTTTTCAGCTGTGGCAGTGGCTTGAAGAGACAGAGCAGCTTCATGGTCTAGGGAAGAGGCCAAGGGGCCACAGGCTGAGAAGCCAAAGACAAGTGTGAGACGTGCCTGCAGTACAGCAATACGAGGTGTTCCTAACTGGAGCACTGCTGAGTTCTGAGTAGGTTTTGATCCTGAATTGTACCCTGTTCACTTCCCTAATAAAGTCCACCATCATGAGCATTGTTATGAGTTGTGCGGCCATTGCACTGGATCATCAAACCCAGATGTGAAGCCGAGAGTGCTGTGGGAAGAACAGCTGGTGTCAGAGTAGGGTAAAGAAGGCTGTAGGGTGGAGGTATGTCTGACCTCTGCTTCAGAGGAATCAGCCTTAGACTAACAATGAGTTTGATTCTCATTCCCTCTTGTGAAGTCAGGGGAAGCCATGGCTCTCACATGCTTTTTTCAGAAACCCTAAGGATTCCAATGGTTCAATCTGCAATTGATCATGAGGATGGCACAGAACCAGATGGTGTGTCATTCCATTGTGTATGGGGTGGCATGAGTAGAAGGTTCTATGGCAGTTAACAACAACATTTCCCTATGCATAACATGGCAAATCAATATTTTAATCAAGATATACATGTATCAATATACAACTCTTACAATCCTCCAATTTCTATGTAATTTTTCAGGAAGTACTGACTATGGCTCTGAGAGACGTAGATCTTCCAAGACCCTGATGTATCAAAACACCTTCACTTCATTAACCATGGCAGGCAGAGGGGGAATAGCCTTTCTTAATAATATCACTCAAGTCACAGTTAATATTGAACACCGGTGAGGCCACCAGGTCATTTTAAATAATGGTATAAATGTTTCAGGAGATTTTACAATGTGCAGAAAATCTGTAGTACATCTCCTTATAAAGTAAATGATCTTTTTTGCAAGGTAATAATCACCTAATTTGTCTGTAGTATCAATACTTTAAAAGGTTATAGTCTGTACTATAAAACTAGTCAGATAATCATTTCAGATGATATCAAAATAAAAACTGGTGTCTAATTTCATATTTTCTTCCTAAATACATTAAAATCTATTTGATCAGTGAATTGCAGTAGATATGTTTTGTCAGTAATACACACTTGTCTTAATCTCATTTGGGTGCTATCAAGAAATGTTCAATCAAATACATGCATTGGTATATTACTCTAACAATTCTCCAATGTCAACCTAATTCTGAGGGGAACTGCTAAGCCACTTAAATTCAAGGCAGGCAGGTCCAATCAGAGGGCTGTAAAGACTGTTTCTTGGGACTTCTAACACACAATCTTAACAGATTTTCTTGAGGGATACAAGATGACGTTAGGAAGAAGTTTTAAGGAAATAGGAAACTGAACTTCTGAGAAAAAGGACAATAAAGTTGAGTCAAGGAATTTTTCGCATCAAAGCAACGTACCTGCTCATTCTTGGAGAGTAGCAAGGGTTGTCCTATGGGAATTTTGTTGGGAAACCTTACCACATCTACCCAACAGCCCTCGTTCTGTCTCTTTCTAACTTCTTTTTGTCCCAAAACCATTTCTGAGATGGTTTTTTAACAAGAAAATAATGAGGAACAAAACAGGTGACAATGCTCAGGTTTTGAATCTTGGAAAATTCAACCTAAAGATGATCAAACATTTTAGAAAGGAAGTTACCAGATTCCAACAGCATTTTCAGAATTTGGATATTGGATCTAGAAAGTGAAGACCATAGGTTCCTACCTACACAGAAGAGAAACAGTGGGAAAAGAGGAGAGTCAGAAAGCAAGTCGGACAAGTAGATGCTGTAGAATGCTGCTGTGAGGCTGCCTGAGTTTCCTCAGCACCACAAAGTTAGGGAATTGTAAGAATATTCATCCACCTGAGGTGAGGAAGTCCCACGTCCACCTAGCACTCTCTGGCTGCCCTGGAAGCAGAAAAATTCTGGGACTCCCATAAGCCTCAGGACTCAGAAGAGCAAAGATGGCTGCCTGGGCTGCCCAGACAGAGGCTACGGCTGGCTCAGAGTGCCCAGGGCACCACTGGGTGGTGTTATACTGAGGAACCTTATAGAGAGTCAGATGGGCACACAGACATGTTGGCCAAGCACCCAAGGCTTCCCCTCCCGCTAAGAATGTACGTCCAGGCTCTGGAACATAAGGCGTCGTGGAAGCTAGGCGGCAGACAATCACTGTGAAATGGACGCATGGGCAGTGTGCTCCTCGGGGCTCCAACAAAACAGACTTGGGCCAGAGTTAGTTGGTGCTGTATTTTACTGCTGTCCACACATTTATTTCTCTAGTTAAAGACGCTAACTGATTGGTTCTTGGCTTACCTGGCTGTCCTGGATGCTGCTGACCTTGCCTTTGACCGGGTTGATGAAATTGTAAGCAAAAAGCAGCAGTAATGCCAGGGGAATCATGTACAGTTCAAAATTCCAGACTGTGACCAAGAATACCTGATTGGAAGACAAATAAGAATATGTGAGGCAGAGGGGTCTTACTTACTTATGGACATTAAACTGGACTCTCTCTGTAACGGACTCCAGTTACGGGGCTGTGGGTTAATGTCTTCACTGCAAAGTCCATTTGAACCACTAGGTCAGCAGTTCAGGCTCACCAGAAACCTCGCTCCTCAGAAACCCTATACGGGACACTCTAGGTCTGACCCGACTTGATGGCACCTAAATAGAATAATCACAACAATTCTCTATAGCAGCTTTAAAGCTTTAGAATGCTTTACCCAGAAATGAGAGAGTCTGCCAACCCTTGGAATTTGAAAGGCACACCCATAGTCTACATCGAGGATGGGGAACATCAGGTCCACGGGTTGTATTTGCTATTGTTAGGTGCCACTAAGTTGGTTCTGACCCATAGTGACCCTGTATAGGGTTTCCAAGGAATGGCTCGTGAGCTTGAACTGCCAACCTTATAGTTCAAACAGACTTCATAGTCCAGTGCATGAACCCACAGCACCACCCCAGGATTTGTATGGGCCGTGTAAGGCCCACAAAATTATTTGGCAACCGCAGTTCCAGTCATCACATTGTTATTGTTGTATAGGGTTTCCGAGGAGCGACTGGTGAGCTTGAACCGCTGACTTTGTGGTTCAAATCAACTTTGCAATTTAGTCCATGAACCCACAGCCCACACCAGGACTCCAGTCATGACACTGTTGTTTTGTTGTTAAGTAACGTTAAGTCAGTTCCGACCCACAGCAACCCTACATATAGGGCAGAGAGCTTGAACTGTTGATCTTGCAGTTCTCATTGACTTTGCTGTCCAATGCATTAACCCCAAATGCCACACCAGGACTCCAGGCATCACATTAGGGGAGGATTAACTAAATGTTCAACTAAATATAGCAAGCTAATTTTTAAGTTAATTATTCTGTATAGCCCATGAATGATGTTATAAATATCCAAATAACCCTTGGCAGAAAAATATTCCCCACCGCTGGTCTATATTGTCTCAGAGAACAGGGGATTCTTTTCGAGCTTTGAGAGTTACAGAAAATTATTCTGTTGAGTTTTCACTTGCTTGGTGCCCAGTATTCTTTCTTCCCCTCCAATTAGAAATGTGTGTTTCCAGCAGGATAAGTCATGCTCATGTGTACACATGTGCATGAGAACACACGCACTCACAGGTAGAGAGATGAACACAATCTTAGACATGGTAACAAATAGCAGTGAAATGAGGCATCCAGTTACCAAGTTACATTCCAGAATACATGATGACAGTAACCTCAGACCCAGTAAACAAACAACCCTACTCAATGATAAGCACTGGACTGCTAATCACAAGGTATACACTTTGAGTTCACCAGCTGCTTGCTCTACAAAAGAAAGATGGGAATTACTGCTCCCTCAAAGATTTAAACCCTTAGAAGCCCTATACAGGGTCACTATGAGTGGGAACTGATCCAATGGTATGGAAAAATCCAAGGTCAAGTTGACATGGCCACATGCCAAATTCTGTCAGCAGGTGAGAATTATTTGACCGAAACAGAGTTGTTTCTGTTTTAATTAATTGCCAAAAAGTTCTCTTTAAAAACTTAAGCTGTCTGAGGTCTGAAACACTACATTCACGAAGAAATGATCAGTTGGAGGAGGGTATATCGAACCAGGAGGGAATGCTGGCTCCAACCAGCCTCTGAATCCACAGCCTTCTCCTCTGGACATGAGAAAGAAAGTTGGTGTTGCTAGGGGTTTCAACGTAAAACAAGAGACACACACTATGCCTTGAAGAAACACATTAATTAGTAGGTGAAATAGGAAAAGAACACATAATAATTATGTTTTCATAATTCACTCCTGCCTCGCGAGTGAAATCTTCAGAAAATTACTTCAAAATTTGAGCCTCAGTTTCTTTTTGAATTCACAGGTAGTCTAGAAGATGAAATAAGATAATTGTAGTTATCAGCTGTCAGCTCAGACGTGCTCAACAAAGTCATTTGTGTATCACATCAACACAGAAGAATCAAATTAATGCATCTTAAAAAAAGTAATCTTTACCCAAAGGGCATCAGCAATGGGTTCAAGCACAAAAACAACTGTGAGGGTGGCACAGGGCTGGACATTGACTGGTTCTGTTGTGCAAAGGATCATTAGGAGTCAGAGCCGAGTCAACAGCGCCTAACAATAATGTGTGTGTGTATGTGTATATATATATACACATACACACACACATATATATACATACACACACATATACACACACACACACACACACACACACACATATATATATATATATATATACACACACACACACACACATGTATATGTTGTTGTTAGGTACCGAGGAGTCAGTTCCGACTCATAGTGACCCTGCACAGGGTTTCCGGGGCTGTACATCTTTATGGGAGCAGAATGCCTCATCTTTCTCCTGCAGAACCACTGGTAGTTTCGAACTGCTGACCTTGAGGGGTTTTATATATATATATAATTGTTGATTTTTTTGTTGCTATTAGGGCCCTGGTGTGGCACTGGACTGATAACTTGACGACTTCAAACTCACCAGTCACTCCTTTGAATCCCTATACAGGGTTACTATGAGTTGCTACCTAACAACAACATTGTAAATGAGGTCCCAGAGTGGCACATTCAGTTAAACACCTGACTACTTGCCCAAAGGTCACCAGTTCAAGTCTACCCCGAGATACCTAGCAAGCAGGACCTGGAGATCTACTTCTCAAAGATTGTTGTTGTTTTTGTTAAGTACTGTGGAGTCGCATCTGACTCTTAGTGAGCCTGCATAGGCTTTCCAACGAGCAATTGGTGAGCTTGAACTGCCAACCTTGTGGTTCAGCCCGACCTTGAAGTCCAGGGCATTAACTCACAGTTCCACAGCAGGTCTCCACGTTATAACCTTGAAGACCCTATAGAGGAGTTCTACTCTGCACACATGAGCCACCATGAGCTGGACTCATATCAAAGTCCACTAAGAACAGCAATACCAATTGTAAATTGTGTCATTTCTTCTACTATATGTTGGGGCTTCAAAGAGTTTGTGGGGAAATCCCACTATCTTTTTCTATTACATTTTCCCATGTGCTTCTGAAACCCTCTAATATAGACAGATATTTCCAATTGGTAATTGTTTGTGTATGAAAGGTAATACTTTTTATAAATTAATATTTTTAATTAGCAACCTTATTGAATTTTCTTATTATTTCAGAGAGCTTTTCATTTCATTCTTTTGGGGTTTCTAAGAATATACTCACATAATTGCAAGTAAGGAGCCTCTTTTGCTGCCTCTTTTCTAATATTCATAATTTAGGTTTTTTCTTATTTAATTTTATCGTCTACTACTATGGGGAGTCCTGGTGTGGCACTGTAGAATCAGCACTGGTCTGCTAGCCATGAGGTCGGCAGTTCAAACCCACCAGCTGCTCCTTGGAAACCCTATACAGTGTCACTTATGAGTCGGAACCAACTCAACCACATTTAACAACAATAGTACTATCAAACCAGTGTGAAGTTAAACTAATGACATGATATCACTGTCTAATTTCTCGGTTTCCTAAAACCACTTCTAGTGATCCATTGGTCTACCATTAGCATGATGTGGTTTGTGGTATACAGTATATAAACCATATCACTTTAAGAATACACAGAATACTTTTGGGTGGTGGTTACCGCTGGGCTCTGGCTCACAATCCTCTGAGCATGAGGCGTCGTGGACAGCGGCCCAGGCACCACAAGCCCCACCGCCCACAGACACGTGCCTGCCCACCCGCTGCGCCCTGTACCCTCAGCGTCTCGCCTCAGCGCGCTGTCACTGTCGGCCCCCTCAAGTGGGAGAGGGAGCTGTAGGTAAAACTTGCCTATTGATCAGTTATACAACCTATACATTTCCTGGAGAATACATTCCCACTGTCTTTGACAACTACTCTGCCAATGTTATGGTAGATGGAAAACCCGTGAATCTGGGTTTATGGGATACAGCTGGACAAGAAGAGTACTACCGATTATGCCCCCTCTCCTATCCGCAAACAGTAAGGATTGCAACTGATTGTCAGTGTGTCCTTTACACTTTACACTCCTTGAACGCTGAAAGGCAGCTCACTTATGGATTTGCTAACATTTCCATCGCTTAGGCCGATCTAGTCATAGTTAATCAAGTTAAAGTCGTTCAGGTATAAATAGTTCCCTAGATGTAAAGTAGATTGGTGTTGGCTTGGTGTTTTGAGCATTATCCATTACTACCAAACACAGATGCTGTGTGTTTTACATACTATCTCATTTTGTCTTAGGATAACCATATGAAACAGATAATTGCTTTGTTTTGATTGTTTGCGAACAAGTTTTTAACAGCAGTTAGTTTCAAGATCGTTTGTCTTCCAATGGTTTTGTGCCATGGAATCAAACCTATGTGGAGAAGACTAGGGTTTGCACTGAAATCCGTTTAGTAACTAATCCTATGGGTGTTACACTTTTTTCTCATATGAGTAGCCCAGTTTAGACATACTTTGAGCTACAATGAACCACACTTAACTACTGTCCATATTTTTCTTTTTTTGTATCTTATAATGATAAAATATCATATGTAATATATTCAAAGATAAACTTTCCAACTTCCATTCCAAAGACAAATAAAAATCATATTTATAGAGAAAAGAAAAAAAAAAAAATACACAGAACATACGTATGTTGTTGTTAAGTGTTGCTCAGTCAGTTCTGACTCATAGAAACCCTGTTTTCCAGTGAGTGGCTAGTGAGTTTGAACTGCCAACCTTATAGTTCAAAATGACCTTGAAGTCCAGTGCATATCCTAGAGCATGTATTCTACCAACAATTGGGTTTTCTAGCACAGAAATGTTCTTCAAGATACACCTGAAATGGTCTTTTAGATAAAGAATGCGGTATCATTCACCTTGAATTTGTCACTCCTGGCAGAGTAAACCAATTGTTCAATTTAAAATGGCCAAACCTGACCATTTCATATCACCAATGCC